GGGCGTGAGCCTTCTTCCATCTTGCGCATCTTCCTGAAGTGTTGGTGATATTGGCTCCATGTGAAGCATCCCGCGTGTTGTGAGAGGCTAGACACTGGTGTCCTGGAATGGGGGGCGGCGTAAGAGCTTCTGTAGAGATGGCGCTGGCCTCTAGCAGATTCCTGCACTCGGGGGCATGTACAGCTGAGCCGTGGACCCTGGACTTTCATATAAAAAGACTCTTTGTTCACCACTGAATGGCATTAGGCATGGACTTGCTGAGGGGCCACCATGAAGCCTCGCCCGAGGAGGGCAAACACTAGCCAGGGAGCACAATGCGGGAGTCACAGACAGACACATCTCTGCAGTTTTGTGCAAAAATGCGTATTTTCATGTATAGTTTTCCAGTAGTTTGGTGTTTGGGTGTATTCCTAGCATAATGCTTTCTTGTAAATAGGCTAAAATACATTTTTTTTCCCCTCGCTGTATTTTCTCTATCTTTCTGTTGTGAGTTTTCGAGAAAGGGGGATTATGTGGGCTAGCCAGGTGTTTGCGGTATTACTTTGCACTGGGAGAGATACTCACACTTGTTATTCTAATAACTAGATCTTTTCCATGCTTTAACTCTTCCTAATAGAAAGTCACGTAAAGCCCAGTTAAAATATGGCATAAGATGTAAATACTCCAACCCTGAAGACACAGAATTGGACAGCCCTATTCTAATAATCAAGAAAATTGTTTGGTTTAAATCTTGTGTTTCTTCACTCTCTGCTCAGCAATGTCTGGTCTCTTTTCAGCATAACCAACAGAAGCACCATACAAAAGTCTTACAATGGATGTCTTAATCTCTCTGTGTGCTTTTAGAGCATTATTTTGAATTCCATCATGCTGCCTTTTTTCTTTCCTCTTCTGAAGTTTTATTACAACAGCAGAATTCCCAGGGAGCTTTGGGGGCAAGGTTCACATAATATAGCCCTGAAGTTTTGCTTAGGTGGAATCCATCCCCCCATCCTGGTCATCTTTTGATGATCTTTCTATTTCAAAAAGATTCACCGGGTAGAGTCTTATAGCATTAGCTGTATGTAGTTTATTTTCTATTTTTTTTATTTACTAGACAGTGAGCATCTACAACCCTTTCATGATGCTTTCTTTCTCTGACCTCACAGTGACAAGGCATCTTGTTCTTTAACATTGAGGGAGGCAGAAAAATGCTTGAGTTGCTCAATGTGTGCCTTCTATACCAGTTTCAAAATGGCTTATTCTTCTGGTTTCCATGGTGACAATTAACACTGTTTCAAGGCATTGTTCCAGTCTCCATTTGGGCAGAATTTTTGGTGTGATTTTTAACAAAAAAAAAAAAAAGATTTTAGGAGGGAAAAGAGCCTTTAGCATAACTGTCAAAAAAGTTATCTCAATCAAGTCTTTATACATTTCTAGTTATATTTACTTCAGAAATCCCTGTTTTTACTGGCTTTGTTTTATAATTCAATTTCAGCACTTGTGTTTTTAAAAAGTAAGCACTGAATAAGAATTTCTAAAAACTTCTTTAATTTTTGGTTAAAATAGCAAGCTAGGTTATTTTTAACTCTGTTTTTAAAGTGTTCTTACATACCTTCTGTACACACAGGAGTGGCATTTAGGATAGGAGTGGCCTGTGTCTTTAATTTAGATCATTCACGTATCTATTAGGAGGCTTCATTAGTCAAAATTGAATTGGCCAAGCAAATACACTTAATAATGTAAATATGCCCTTTCAATAGAGTATATTTTATTTTTGACTAGACAGAGAGGCCCACAGCAGGTGCTGTGGGGAAATTAAATACTGGATGCTTATTTACCTTAGCACTCAAGAAAAGCCATCTGACTTTAACTTTGTTAATCTCATTTTGGGCTATTGAAGAGTAGTCTCTATCATAATATCCCCAGACTATAGGACACAATGGGGCAGCCTCTGCTCACTTACTGCTGTGGGTGAAATGAATATGAAGATTAAATTATCTTCTCACCACAGGACAAAGTAGCCCTACTTGATAGGATGACTGAGAACTGATAGAGCTGGTGGTTGATTCTCCCCATCTAAGGCTTCTGGAAAGATGTTGAAGAGAGAAGAGCAAAACACCTTGAGCCTCAACATAAACAACCCTCTGGCATCGCTACATACATATATGACTTGAGGTCCTAATCGCATCAGATTCAACCTTCAGAGTGCCTCAAAAATTAAAATAAATATTTTTGCCTTAAATTACATGACATTCAAGTACCTCTTGTGCACATACCAACACACCTAACAATTAGCTGGATTCTCTTAGCTTTTATAGTTTGAAGGCACTGTCCATCAATCACATCTTTAATCAAGCTATTTATACAGTAGGTTACACGGTGACATGACAGGGAGCATACCTAAAGACAAGGTTTTTTTAGCGTAATAACCTTTTATAATAGCCGTTGCAGTGACTACTTGTGCCACATTTCATAGGGAAAATTATTTTATTATGTCTAAAATTAAATTAATTGCTTTTTATATTTTTTTATTATTACAAGACTATCATTTTTATGGGACAAATCTAAACTGTTCTCTGTCTTGACTGATCTGCTGTGTGGGAGCCATTAAAAGTTGGGGTAAAGAGAGGGGATGAGCTTGTCATAAGTGACAGTGATAACTGGTGGAGGCTGCTCCCAGGTGGCACAGCCGGAGGACTCCTTCTGTCAGTGCACGTGGCATGAGCAAAAGATTTGAATAAGATTCTTCTGCCTGCCTGAAATTCTGGTTTCCCCAATATTATGTCAAAGAAGTCTTACCAAATTAATTATGTAAATCTTTGTCAGCAGCATCATCTTTAGATGGGAATCTGATTACATAAAGCAGATTGGCCTCTCCTCAATCATCACTCTGATAAATAAAACACTATCGAGGTTTCTAGAATACTTGTTGAGTGTTTTGTCCAGAAAACTCGAGTGGCCAGTGTTTTTTTTAAGTATTGGAGTGACAGGGTCCTGGTAATTGCCTGGCGTTGGAAAATGCAATCAGAATCTCCAACGTATCACAGGTCAAATTCTGGAAGAGCTCTAAAACAACCCTTGATTTTTTTTCATGATGCATATTCATGTAATTTTGGATGCTTCGACACCCTGATCAACATTCATTAATACTATGAAATGCTTTAAATCACCTCATTTAAAACATTTTGTTCTGTGATCCACAAATGACTAACATTTGGAGGAGTTTACATAATACAAATGATGTGCATGTTTAGTGTAAATGAAAGATTAAAATCTGAAACTAAAAGTATGCAAACATATGCACGTAAATGCTGAGGATCTATTACGCAAAATAAGGATCTCAAACCTTCTTTTCCTTTAAGCTGCTTCCAATTGTATTTTAGTTTGGAATCTTAGATATTACCATGTTTTCAGGGTAAATAACATGCTTGGGCATGTTTTGAACTTGGCTGATTTGCTGCTTTGCCCAGACAAAAGCTTTTCTGATTAGATCTGATAAGGTGCTGTCTTAGCTCAGTTAGAGCAAAGGAGCAACACTACCAAGGGCCTCAGTGGCCCCAATTACGCGCCTCAAAGAAAAAACTGGGGGGTTGCCATTATATTTTGGAAAAGTGCTAAAGTTGTAAAATATGTGTAATATTTTAACCAGAGTCTAGTTTTCTACTCAGAGGTGTTTTTATGTGTAGTACATTTTAAAAATATAGCCAGAGTCATTTATAGCTGTTCGTAATATAAGGCTTTCTAACTATGAAGTTATCCAAATAGAGTTATTTGAAGAGAATCACTATAGTAACTGCCATATTAAATGGCACTTAGATTATCTCTAGCAAAACATCTTTTAGCAGAGACTCACTCGGCAGTTCGTTAGAATACAATGTATATTGGGGGGAGAAGTGTCTGTAGTCAATTGTGATGTTTGGGGACATTTTATGGTAATCAATAAAGAAGCATAGATTTGTAAACATTTCCAAAGCCCTGGTTTGCTCTTTTTTCTCTATATGTACCTCTTCTCAAGCCCATGCAGTTTTTTTTTTTTTTTTTAAGATTTCATTTATTTATTTGACAGGGAGAGACACAGTGAGAGAGGGAACACAGGCAGGGGGAGTGGGAGAGGGTGAAGCAGGCTTCCCATGGAGCAGGGAGCCCGATGCGGGGCTCGATCCCAGGATCCTGGGATCATGACCTGAGCCGAAGGCAGATGCTTAACCGACTGAGCCACCCAGGCGCCCAAGCCCATGCAGTTTTTAAGTAAAAGAAAAATGGGGGTGGGGAGAGTGTTAACTGAGAATTCAGGAGACTTACAGGATAAGGAGGAAGGTCACTCAATCTTTAGGGATCATTTTATTTGTATGACCCTGTACCACCAGTCCTTTGTGGGGCAGAGATGAGAGATGGGCAGCACTCTGGAGCCAAGTATTGACCGAAATCAACTATAATATTAAATCTCCCTGGACCAGGTATTTTCTGGGAATATTTTAAATTAAAGATCAAATGTGTGTGTAAACTTTACTTTAAAATGACATAAATCGGGGCACCTGGGTGGCTCAGTCAGTTAAGCATCTGACTCTTTCAGCTTGCATTGTGATCTCATGGGTCGTGGGATCAAGCCCCGAGTTGGGCTCCTCGCTCACCTGGGAGTCTGCTTGAAAGATTCTCTCCCTCTGCCCTTCCCCCTGCTTGCTTTTTCTCCCTCTTGCTCTCTCTCTCTCTCTCTCTCTCTGTCTCTCTAAAAATAAAATAAATAAATCTTCAGATCTTTAAAAAAAATAAAATAAAATGACATAAATCTTAGTCAACTAAATGGAATACCTTGGATGTTTATGTATGTGTGAGTAATATATATTTGGACTGATTTCAGCAATATTTCTCAACTTCTGAAGGTCCTTAGGCTTAGCCTCCCCAGACATTTTATTGGAAACAAAAACTTTTAACACCCATGAGCATCACTAACTCTGTGCTCAAAGATTTTCTAAGAACACCTGTCTCCCTAATGATACCTCTCTTCTCTCTTCTTGTTTTAGCGATACAGTGTGGAAATGTCCATCAGGGACCTGAAAAAGACGGAGCTGCTTAGTAAGGTTGAAGCTCTGAAGAAAGGTGGCGTTTTACTACCAAATGATCTCCTTGAAAAAGTGGATTCAATTAATGAAAAATGGGAACTGCTTGGGGTATTTGCATTTTTATTACTGTTTGTAGGTTATGTGTACATTTTTTGTGTAGTGAAGTACTCTATCTGTCTGATTTCTAATTTGAAGCACAAATATCTCTCTCTTTCAATTCACTACCTACATTTCAAACAAGCTATTTATGCTATTATGAGGGAAAAACACTGCTTTTCCTCTTCTGTTGGTTTTTTTTTTTTTTACTCTGAGCTTGTCTCCTCTCAGATTTTAATAATTTTGGTTCTTTAATACATAAAAAAGTAAGTAAAATATGCCATGTATTATGGGTATGCACCAAGTCAACTATAATACAGTCTATCTGATATACACTGACTGTCATGCTTGAATGAATGTTAATAGAATTTATTCTGAAGGTACATGTTAGAGACATCCACTGTTTAACTATTTACTGTACCCTTCAGATGAAAAGTGGAGTTGTCACTACAGCTTTCAAGTCACACTAAAGCCACCAAAACAAAAATGCAAATCTGACCCAAATCTGAATTGCAGAATGAAATCGGCCTGTTTTGTGCCTCAATTTCCAGCTCACTTTTAACAAAAGCCCCCCCCCCAAAAAAAAAAAAGTTTCATGTAATTCATTTCACGCAATGATGGGCTGGGTCTCAGCCAAAGACTGAGTTGCAAGAATCTGGCAAAAAGGCAATATAGAGATTCTGTTAACCAGAGACCAGGATGGCACTGTGCAGGAGACAGGGCTGTCCTTTTGTAGGAAGACAGCTGAAAGAGGGAGGTTAAACTGTATTTTTTCATCAGCTTCTTTCCTAAATTGCCTTCACTTCAAATCAAGGGTAAGCTAAATTTGTCAATTACTTAAATGGTTAATTATAACAGCAAAGTATGGGTGGTGTCAGTTATGGAGCATAATTTTGCATGCCTTCCATTTCCTGCCTTTTTTTTTTATTTTAAAGAAATAATACTCCAAAAATATTTTGAATAAAAAGCTCTCCGTGTACCTAGATGACTTGGAGGAGTGCCAGTGTTCAGTTTTGCCATACTTAATCTAGGTGATTAAAAAACTGCAAGTTTAAATCCTTGCTTTCTCATCTAAACTCACTACACTCTACCCTTGTGCAAAGTAACTTAGAACATTGGAAGTTTTTCCTCTGGCCTACTGGAACATCACTTTTTAATAGTAATTAATGGCCTCCGCTTTATCATATGGTGATTTCAATTGGAACCTAGTAAATTCCACAGAATTCATTGATCTCCTGCAGGAGAAATGTGGTTCGTGTAGACATTTTTAAGGGGTTGTTTCACCAAACAGATGAGATCAGCAACTTTATGTCCTTGATAGAAAGAGCAGTAGTTTGCGTTATAGTTTAACATATCTATTTCTAATTTGATAAGTAACTGACAGTCATCTTTTTTGAAAATTGTGTGATGTCGTTGTATGTTGCTTCCTCAACGAAGATTTTAAATCAACGTAATAGCCAAAAAAAGAGACAGAATAGTTAGCTATCCGTTGTGAGTCAGACACCTGAAAAAGGGTTGCCATTTTGACAAAAAATACCATTTGAGGACAATATGCAGAGCTCTGTAATGATCTGGGGGGAGAGAAGGGTAGAGGGAAGATTTTAACAGAACCTCTGCCACACCATCACCAGGCATCCTGCTTTAATTGGCATGATTACATTTTAATTGGCATGAACAAAATTTAAAGACAAGGATTTTAACTTCTAACAATAGTAAAATAGAGGGATATGGTTTTTAATATTACTTTCATCTAAGGTGAACAGTGTGGAATGGAAATACATTAGAATGAAATGTCAGTGGTGCGTACAGTTTAATCTGTGAAATTTTGTCCCCTGTGCTGCATATTACTCTGTCTCAATTGCATATTAAACAACCCTATCAAGGCAGGCATTGGCATCTGCTGTGCTGACACAAATTGTGAATTAAATGAAATTGATGTCCTCTGTCGTATATTTATGAAGACGGACCATTCTCTGAAGTATTCTGTTTATGAAGAATTTATGATTGCAAACTGTTCCAGAACAAAAAAGTGGCAATAAATTCTTTTTTGTGACCCTACCCTCCAAGGGCATTGATTTCACCTCCTGCTGCTACTTTTGTTACAGCATAAAAACAATAGCTAAATCTGGATTCCATGGAGGGTCTTCAAATTATCAATATTTGCACCATGAAAATACAAGGGTGTTGCCAAGAAAGGCTATTTTTCTGTTAGGATCTCCTAAAGATACTATTTACAGAACACTACACAGCAAATGGATGTTTGTTGACTTAATTTTATTTGTGTTTTAAAGCTTATTTCTGTAGGTTTAATTCATCATTATAGATTAACTCCTACTGATTCTCCAGAGTGTTTTCCACCAAAAAAAAAAAAAAAAAAATCCCTCTCAGCTGCACGTTCATGCCATAGTGGTTAATGTAAGAAGGCTTCTGGCATAGTGGATTGGGACTGACTTTGACACATATATTAGAAAGTCTAGCATCCAGAAATGCAGAGTGGGAAGCATCGTGGGGTTGAACAATTTCTAAGTCAGGTAAAATGCAAGAACAGCACCAAGGAAGCTGCCCCTTCTGAGCGGCCCTCAGTCATACGGTTGGGGAAATTGTACTTTATGAAACCAAAAAAAAAAAAAAAAGGAATTTAATTCTCCATGTACAATCTACTCTTGGCCTCTTCAGTATATTGATTAAACTCAGACTTCTATCTCCTGAAAATGTTACGCAGAGAATATTTTCTTGTAAACTCCTGTCATGAGAATTCAAATGAATTTTCATCAGTGACCATGGTGAACTTTTCCTTCCTGTTAAAGGAAATTATAAGTGAATGAGGTCTTCTTAAGCCTCTAGTGGTAGTCAGAACAACACACGCTGCTCAAGAATTCAAAAATCCTAAATGGAACAATGAGCTAATCTGAACTGAATGTCCATGGTGAGGGGGCAGGTGCAGCTGGACACCTTCCAGGAGGCTCTTGTTACTAACCAAACTGTGGAATGTTTTTGGTACCGAAGCTAATCTGTGTTTTTGTTTTTTTGTTGTTGGTGGTTTTTTGTTTGTTTGTTTTTGTTTTTGTTTTTCATCGGATGCGTTAGAAAACCCTAGGACAGAAGATCCAGGACACAATGGCAGGACACAGTGGGTCTGGTCCACGTGACCTGCTCTCTCCCGAAAGCGGAAACCTGGTGAGGCAGCTGGAGGTCAGGATCAAAGAACTGAAAGGGTGGCTGAGAGATACAGAGCTTTTCATCTTCAATTCCTGCCTGAGACAAGAAAAGGAAGGAACAATGAACGCTGAGAAACAACTGCAATACTTTAAGGTAATAAAAAAACAATCAAAGTTGATAAAAAGCTTTCTTTATGGTAGGGATGAAATATTTATCAAGTACATAAAGTATGATACCCATGTATCTATGTATCACTGGGCACTTAAATGTTTCCTTGGATTTATAGACACCCTCTACATTTCTTGTATGCCAACGTCTGTGTGTGGATAAAGATGAACATTAAGCCTATCAAATACACATTGTATAGGGGAAATCACTGCTGCTTGTGTGTTTTGTGCAATGCCTGTGGAGGGAGGGCTTTGATAAATTAAAAGCAGACCAGCAAACACTACAGATTACTGAGGACTTTGAAAGGCAGACCTAAAAGTTCCATAAATAATGTGGCTAAAAATACTTCCATAAATTGATATGATAAAAGCATGTGATTTAATTGAAGACCATTAATGCTAACAAAAGGAAACATAATTTTTACATATGAGAGAATCAACTATTTATGGAGGGAAGAAAGAGGTTCCTCTGTTATAGGCATATTCCATCGTAGAAAAATACCAGCCTTAGCCACACAGCTGTGTGCGTGTTCACTGTGCGTCCATGAAGAAGAAGCATTTACCCCATTGGTTTCCGCGATTTATGCAGTATCTACTCAAAAACAGTTTAGAATCCAAGTATTTTCTTTTATTGCCTATGCTCGCCTGTACTACTTGAATCCTCCTGTAAAGGCCGTGATTATTTGGGCTCTGAGGTCAGTCTGAGGCTTTGGGGTTCTAAGATAAGAACTTGGTGGCAAGAAACCTTCTGGCATGAATGGTCTCAAAGAGGAGAAAGGGGAAAACCAAGAAGGAAAGAACTTCTTAGGACCAAGCAACTGTTTCTTTGCAAAGCCTTACAGGACCAGGTTTTATTCATCCCCCTCACACCCCACCCCATGCCCCGCCATCCCTTGCAGCCCTGCAATCTTCCAGCAGTCAGTCAGAGAATTTAGTCCCATGTGGTTCACCTTCCATCTGCCAGACAAGCAGATCACCTTGCTCACCTGCACAGCCTAGGAGGAGGAGCCCTCAAAGGTAAGACCACAATAATTCCCAATAAACTGCCTGCATCACACACCTACAGATTGTTTTGGAAACCTCCTCTTCTGCCATTGAATTGACAAGACCAAACTGGGAATTAAATGAAAGCCTCTTCCCAAGGCAAATGGGTTTTCCTGCCTATCCAGAAGATTTCTTATTTCATCTCTACTTGTCTTGCCCTCACCCCCATTGCAGGGAGATGGAGTCTTCAGATATTTGAATGCTGTGTTATTTGAACAAAACATGCACCTTATAAAGCATCCTGGTCATTAGTAGGCTGGATGATGTGAAATATATTTTTTCTTTATAGTATCTATATCACAGCTTTAGTGAACCAGTTAATGGCCCCAGATAGCTTGTGACCTTGGTCATGTTTCTTGTATTATCCCTTGGTGCCTCAATTTCTTCATCTATAAAATGGGATAGTGATAGTATTTATCTCACACAGTTATGAGTTTACATACATAAATTATTATTTCTACTTTTTGTAATGGTGCATTTAAGGGATAGAAATCTCTTAATATTACAAACCCCAAAATGTTACATAATAATTGGAAACAATAACAGGAAGTTTGTTATTACAATTATTTATATACCTGCCTACCCCCATATCTCATAGATATTTAAAAGCAACCCCCCTCCCACTTTTGTTATTGTTATAAATGGAAGAACAAGCAGTTCTGCATTAATTTTGCTGATGCTTCCAAAAGACATTAGCTTTATGCTTAAGCTTTGTATAGGGTCATCAACATGATTTTCAGCTATCCTAGAGACAAATACAACAGTCTCTGAAACAGAAACAGGGAGAGACAGAGAGAAGTCTCTAGACTTTCAGATCATTAGATAATTCCTAGATGTCCTAGTCATTTGCTAATACTTTCTAGCCACTGTGGAAATATTCACTACACCTAATTCATTATTTACCATGTGCATTTTAGTGCCTGAAAATAATCCTAGAATTTTCATTTCAAAACTACCAGGGACTATCACATGCTTTTTGCTATTTTATTTCTTTTTTTCAAAGACTGTTTTTCTTAGGGCATTTTTATGTTTTTGGGGTCACTATTCATTAACTAACTGCTTTTATAGCCTATTCTTGTGTAGTTAGCTGTTTTTAAAATAATATAATAAATACAGAGACTTTTCTACCCCTTCCCAAAAAAGGTAGGACCTTGATGATAATGTTCACCTCCTCATATGGTTTCCCAGCCCTATTCCATCCCCTCCTCTCCTAAGATAATCATGAACCCAATATTCTTTGTGCCCTTGCTTTCCTTTGATAGGAAAGAATATTTTTTATTTTAGTTGTTTTTAACTTTATTAAAAGGTAATCATGCTGCATGTTATCTTTTAAGACTTCCTTATTCATTTAATATTATAATGCCAAGATTCATTCATGTCATTGAGGATGGCTGTAATTCACTTATTTTGACAATTGTATGATATTCCATTGTGAGTATATACATGTATCTCATTTAATTCTAATAGCAACCTATGAAATTGGTACTAGGATCTTGATTTTGTAGGATGTGTCTATGGAAACAGGCACATGGAGGTTAGGTTTTGTGTGTCTAAGGCCACATATAATGAGTGGTAGATTTAGGTTTTAAATCCAGGGCTGTCTGACTCTAAAGCCTCTGAACTACTATGCAAAATTGATATTTATTGATATTTACTGAATGCCCTTCAGTGCTGGATGACTCAAAGGGAAAAACGGGACAATTAAATGTCACTATTTCTTTGTGGTTGGTTTATCAGTCACAGTCTTCAGCAATTTGGCCAGGATACAAATAGTTTCGGCTACTGAAGATCTTGGGAGGTGAAAATATTTGTGTTTTTATTTTACGTTTTTATCCTGTATCAGTGTAAACTTCTTTGCCATGTGTCAGTTTTTAAATTGAAATGTTCCAACTTTTTTTGAGCTTATGGAGCCCTGGTAATTTTTCTCTACCTTGAAACTTCAGTCCCTTCTAAAGTTTTCACCTTGAGGAGTTTGATCAGATAAGCTAAGGGGGTCTAGCATGATGGCACTTCTTTTTTGTTTTGTAAGAAAGCTGTATGCTTGTCTGTTGGAATTTCCTCGCCAGAATTTTAAATATTTCTGAACTCTTTACTCTTTAGTGCTCAGTGTATGATTAATCAAGTGTTCTGTATATTACCACATTCATTGGATGAATTAAACCAAATGTTTGTCATATAATAATAATGTAACATAATGTTTATAACCTGCCAAAATCATAATTGATAATAAGCATATGCAGAATAAAAACTTTTTGCTTACCACAAATCCAAAGGCCAGATCCCCTCTGCCTTTCTAAGAGACAAAACCTCTCAGATAAGATTTATTAGGAATTCTTAATCGCAGGAAACAAACTGAGTGTTGTTGGAGTGGGGGGTGGGGTGGGAGGGATGGGGTGACTGGGTGATAGACACTGGGGAGGGTATGTGCTCTGGTAAGCGCTGTGAATTGTGCAAGACTGTTGAATCTCAGATCTGTACCTCTGAAACAAATAATGCAATATATGTTAAGAAAAAAAAAAGAAGAAGAAGAAGGTAGCGGGAGGGGAAGAATGAAGCAGGGGAAATCGGAGGGGTAGACGAACCATGAGAGACGATGGACTCTGAAAAACAAACAGGGTTCTAGAGGGGAGGGGGGTGGGAGGATGGGTTAGCCTGGTGGTGGGTATTGAGGAGGGCACATTCTGCATGGAGCACTGGGTGTTATGCACAAACAATGAATCATGGAACACTTCATCTAAAACTAATGATGTTATGTATGGGGATTAACATAAGAATAAAAAAATAAATAAATAAACTGAAAAAAACAAACAAACAAACAAAAAAAAAGATTTATTAGAGAACCTGTATGTGTGGAACTCTTTGCCACATTGCTCCTCTTCTTGTGTGTTCCCAAAGGTCTTCTGCCGTCATTGGTCATACTGCAGACAAGCTCTACCCACAGGACTTAGCTTTATGATTCTCCATTCTCTAAAATCTCAGGCTTTTAACAGAATGAATTCCTTTATATGCCCCCAGAGTAGTGATAGATAAGCTAGGGTGCACCACCCAAGAGAAAGGAGTGGGAGGGTGCTGCATCTAAAAAGGACAACCCATCACTTTGTAGGCACAACTGTTTCCTTCTTAGAGTTTAGTCTGGGATGAAAGAAAGGATCAGGATCTCAAGTATTCAGAAGAAGAGGAAAAGCAATTGTGGAATGTATTCTTTTTCTTGAAGGAAAGTAAGTGTGATAAACGTGGGACTAGACACAAGGCAAAATCCTACCTAAGAAAGAAAGAGTCAAAGCTCAGCATGCGGAGACACTCGAAGGTGTGAACCTAAGACCCTTGGGACAGAAATGCAAAATCATCACCATTACAATCAAATGTGGAGAGCACGTCAGAGATTTAATGAGGTCAGCTGGCAAAGGGCCCCTTAGAGCTATGTGTGTACAGCTTCAAGGTCACTGGCTGGAAAGCACTACTCTTTAATGATGACCCTTCAAAGAGAAAATAATTGCTTAATCATACGTTCCTTGTATTCCATAACCAAATTCGTTAAAGACTCAAATTGGGGAGAAATTATTCAATACAGCTCAAAGAGTCTGCGACACTGGACTAGGCCCAGAACCAGCCCGGGAAGGACAAGTTTAGAGCTGCCAAGAGGCTCTGTCATCAAGAAGGTGAATGAGGGAAATAGATTTGGTAAGCTCGGCAATGATTAATACCCTGCATTTGGTTAGCAATTTAAATTGGACCAAGCACTTTTATCCAAGCTAGTCTACTTAAACCTTACACTAATTATATAAGGTGAAAATATGATCACTTTCTTATGGGTGTTTTTATTTATTTTTATGAATGATGAACATGAGAGGTGGAAAAGTCAACATGGCTTCTTTGAATCCATGCAGCAGCTAGCAGCAGAGACAGAGCAAAAGCCATGGTCTGTGGGTTCAAATTCCAGTA